GCACCACACAAAGCACACATCACACACACACACACTCACAATCCTGGGGCCTCCTGGAGCCTCTTCTGGTATCCAAGTCGGGCCTCCTGAGGCTTCCTGGGGGGCCCTGGTACACACATCGCAAGGTGTGGCAACCCCACTTGCGCTCGAGTGCGACTTCGCTGTTGCATGTCACTCCTGCTTCAAACGCCCCTTCAGCTTGTTGTATGAGCCTGGGCACACACGTGCCACTTGTATATATATATATATATATATATATTATATATATATATGAGTGCGCGTTTTGTGGGCGCTTGCAGGAGTTCCAGAACCAGGCTACCCACCTCCCGTTTGGCCTGCGCCGGCGCTGGCGGCGGCCCCCCGCCAGCGCCAGCGCCGGCGGCGGCTGTCGGCGGCGCGGGGGAATGTCGACGACGACGACGATTCAAGGGGGGAGGGGGGGTTCGAACCCCACCCTTTTCCTCCAAGCCGGCAACGGCGCCGGCGCCGGCTGGTGGCGACGGCGGCGGCGCCGGCGACGACGACGACGGCGACGACGGCGACGACGACGATGCCGACGGCGACGACGGCGACGACGACGCCGATGGCGACGACGGTGACGACGACGACGGTGACGACGACGACGATGATGGCGACGAGGACGACAAGCACAGCGACGACGACAGCGGCGACGCGACGACGACGACAGCACAGCGAAGACGACGACGGCGACGACGACGATGGGGACGACGACGGCGACGACGCCGACGACAATTGCGACGACGGCGACAACGACGACGACTGCGACAACGGCGACGACGACGACGGCGACAACTACGACGGCGACGACGACGAGCACGGCCACGACGATGACGACGACGGCGACGACGACGACGACGACGGCGAGGACGATGACGACGATGTCGACGACGACGACGACGACGGAGACGAGCACGACGGCGTTGACGACGACGACGGCGACGACGACGGCGACAACGACGGCGACGAAGATGGCGACGAAGGCGACGAAGGCGACGAAGACGACGACGACGATGGGGACGGCGACGACGACAGCGACGACGACGACGACGGCGACGACGACGACAGCGACGACGAGCACGACGACGACGACGCAGACGACGGCGACCACGGCGACGACGACGACGGCGGCAACGAAGACAATGACGACGACGACGGCGACGAGGAAGACGACAACGGTGACGACGAAGACAAAGACGACGACGACAGCGACGAGCATGGCGGCGACGATGACGACGACGACGACGACGACGACGACGACGACAAGCACGACTCCACGACGGCGGCGGCAACGACGACGTAGACGAAGTGGACGACGACCATGACGACGACGATCTCGACGACGACGGCGACGACGACTATGAATGCGACGACTGTAACAACGTCGACGACGAAGACGGTGGCGACGACGACGGCGACGACGGCGACGACGACGAGGACGACGACGACGGCGACGACGACGGCGACGACGACGACGCCGACGACGACGACGACGACGACGACGGCGACGGCGACGACGGCGTCAATGGCGACAACGACGACGACGACGAGCTCGACGGCGATGACGGGAACGACGGCGACGACGGCGACGAAGGCGACGAAGAACGACGACGACGATGACGACGGCGACGACGGCGACGACGACGACGGCGACGACGACTACGACGGGGACGACGACGACGACGGCGACGACGACGACGGCTACAACGGCGACCACAACGACGACGACGGCGGCGACGACGACGACGACGGCGACGGCGACGACGACGGCTTCGAGCATGACGACGTCGACTACGACGACGACGACGACGGCGACGACAACGCAGACGGCGACGCCGACGACGACGGCGACGACGACGACGACGATGACCATGACGGCGATCACGACGACTTCGAGCTTTTCGACGACGACGACGAAGACGACGAAGGCGACGACGACGGCGGCGAGGAGGAGCACGACGACGATGGCGACGGCGACGACGACGACCACGCCGACGACCACGACGACGGCGACGACGACGACGACGACGGCGACGACGTCGACGAAGACGACGGAAAGCGCGGGAAGCACACGACGCAGCGCGAATAATATCCATATTTGAAGTCCGGGCCGGTCAATACTCCGACATGCAGGGCCGAGGAAAGAGGACTACAAGGGACCTTGTCGTCGTCGTCGTCGTCGTCGTCGTCGTCCTGGTCATCGTCGCCGCGTCGCCGCCGTCGGCGCTGCTAGCCGCCGCCGCCGCCGCCGGCGTTGGGGCCGTCTTGCCGGCGCCGGCGCCAGGGTGGGTGGGGGTGTCTGGGAGGGTGGGGGAGGGGGGAGGGGAGTCTCCCTGGTTCTTCTCGACGGCGCCGAATATTCGGGGGGCCCGGTTCAGACGCGCCGCCGAGACTGTTCCCAAGGCAAGCGCCCGTGAAACGTTTTTCCTATATATGGGTTCATATTTTTATTTACGTGTGTATTCATATTTGCATATTTTGTATTTATACACATATCCCCCACAGGGACCCAAAACAGAACTCCACATCCACCGCCCGAAGGGTCCCCAGGGGTTCGGGAAAAAACTCTGCACCCTGCTTGCCTCCACGGTGCCCCGGTTTTCTGTGACCAATCCCTGGGTGGTTCCCCGGCCGATTGAAAATTGAAATATTCAATCGGCGACCTGAATATGTGAGTTCAAAACCTCAGAATTGAATTCGGACGCCGCCACTTCAATATTGGAGTTGGACGCCCCAAATTGAAATATTGAAAAGATTCAATTCTGGACTCCAGAATTGAAATCTTGAAATATTGAAATTTCAATATCGATATTGAGTTTTAGGTCAATATCGGGTTTCAAACCCAATATTGGGGTTTGAACTCCAATACTGAACTTACGAGGCCGTAGGCCCGGCCAAAGGAGAAACGGGAAAAGCTCGCTCTTCCCAGGGGAGAAATAACGAGCAGAGTGGGGGAGGGGGAGGAGGTGGGGGAGGAGAAGGAGGCCGTAGCATGAAAAGCACGCCCCGCCCAAAACAGTCACCCGAGGCGTTTGGTGACTGTTTTGGGCCCGTCCGCCCAGAACTGTCACCAAGAGCCTTGGGTGACTGTTTTGGGCGAGGTGGAGCCCCGCGGGCGGGACATTAAAGCACGACGCAGCTCGCGGTAGCAGGCGCTTGCTCTAGCGGGCCGGTCGGGTCGGGCGGGCGGGACCTTAAAGGTTGACGCAGTTCTCTAAGTTGCACACGCTTGCCCTGGCGTGCCCGTCGGGTCGGGCGGGCGGGACATTCAAGCACGACGCAGCTCTCGAGATAGCGTTCGCTTGCTCTAGCGGGCCGGTCGGGTGGGTGGGACATTAAAGCACGACGCAGCTCTCGAAATAGCGTGCGCTTGCCCTGGCGGGCCGGTCGGGTCGGGCGGGCGGGACCTTAAAGGTTGACGCGGCTCTCTAAGTAGCACGCGCTTGCCCTGGCGGGCCGGTCGGGTCGGGCGAGCGCCGGGTCGGGCGGGCGGGACTTAAAAGTCGGACGCAGCTGGCGAGGTAGAGCGATTTTGCCTTTGTGGACCGGTCGGGTCGGGCGGGCGGAACATTAAAGTCCTCTCTCATACTTCCCCGCGCACTCTCCTCCTGCAGCCTCTCGTTCTCTTTGCGGTTCCGCTTCCGCTGCCATGCCGGCCGAAATTTGTCACCGGAGCCTCTTGATGACTGTTTCGGGCGGGCGTGGATTTAAGCGGTGAAGATC